ATAACAGGGAGCCAATCATTCCACGAAATTTCTTACAGTCTACTGATTTTCCAGATTCATCAGATGTCAGTTTAACAGAAGATCCCATGGGGGTCAAAGCTGCTTTTAGGTTGTTGAGATCAAACCGTTTTAACATGTTCTGTAAGTATTTTGTCTGACTGATGAAGATTCCCTGACTGGTTTGTTTTACTCGTAATCCAAGGAAGTATGTTAATTCCCCCATAAGACTCATTTCAAAGGCATTCTTCATATCATTTTCGAACTCAGAGCATAATTTTTGACTCGTAGAGCCAAAGATTATGTCGTCGACATAAACTTGAACAAGAAAGGTGTCTTTATTTTCAGTTTTAATGAACAGAGTTTTGTCAACTTGTCCACGATGAAAACCCTTCTCAATCAAGAAGTTACTCAGCTTCTCATACCAGGCTCTAGGAGCCTCCTTGAGTCCATACAAGGCCTTATTCAGTTTAAACACGTATTCAGGGTGTTCTGAGTCCTCAAACCCAGGAGGTTGAGAGACATACACTTCTTCTTTTATTTCACCATTTAGAAACGCGCTTTTTACGTCCATTTGATACAGCTTGAAACCTCTAGAGGCAGCAAAGGCACATAAGAGACGTATGGCTTCTAATCTGGCTACAGGGGCAAATGTTTCTTCAAAATCGACCCCTTCCTCCTGACAATAGCCTTGAGCTACTAACCTAGCTTTGTTTCTAATTATGATTCCAAGTTCATTAGTTTTATTTCGAAAAATCCATTTGGTTCCAATGATTATTCTGTCCTTAGGTCTAGGGACTAAGTCCCAAACATGAGTTCTGGCAAATTGGTTCATTTCATCATGCATAGCTGCTGACCAGTACTCATCATTAATTGCATCATTTATGCATTTAGGTTCAAATTGAGCTACAAAGGCAGTGTGCTCAGCATAAGACTTAGAACGAGTAAGCATACCTCGACTGGGATCTCCAATGACTAGAGATGGGGGGTGTCGTCGAACTATGTGAGGTGGTGCCTGAGGATTACTGTCCTTTTCTTTCATTCTGCCACCTTCATCTGCGGGGACAGCTTCTGTTTCCTGAGCCTCAGGAGTTTCATGACTTGTGTGAACCGTTCCCAACCCTAAATCATCATCCTCATCGACACTTTCTGCACACTTAGTCAATGTTTCATCATATATCACATGAACGGACTCCTCAACCTTGAGGGTCCGTTTATTAAACACACGATAAGCCCTGCTGTTGACAGCATATCCAAGGAATATAGATTCATCTGATTTTGAGTCGAATTTCCCCAAGTTATCTTTGGTGTTTAAGGTGAAACACTTGCACCCAAAAGGGTGAAAGTAACTTAAATTTGGTTTCTTGTCTTTCCAGAGTTCATAAGGTGTCTTATTAAGCTTAGATCTGATAAGAGCTCTATTGGTGACATAACAGGCTGTATTAATTGCTTCTGCCCAGAATTGTTTTGCAATACCATAATCATTCAGTATTGTTCGAGCTATATCAATTAAGGTTATGTTCTTTCTTTCCACCACACCATTTTGTTGTGGGGTTCTGGGAGCAGAGAAGTTATGTGTTATCCCCTTTTTGTTACAAAAGGCTTCAAATTTTTCAGACACAAATTCACCTCCATGATCACTTCTTATGCTTCCTATCTTTGATTGTTTTTCATTTTCTAAACGTTTGACCAGGTCTTTGAAGTTTTGATAAGCTTCATCCTTCGAAGCCAAAAACAGTACCCAAGTGAACCTTGAGTAGTCATCTACAATTACAAATGCATAGTGTTTACCACCAAGACTTTTGACATTACTAGGACCAAACAAATCTTGATGAAGAAGTTCTAATGGTCTAGATGTAGATATGACAGGTTTGGTTTTAAAAGAGGACCTAGAGTGTTTTCCTTTTGCACATGCATCACAGAAGAATTCCTTCTTGCTTAGAAGTTTTGGAATCCCTCTAACTATTCCCAAATTTACCAATTTTGACAAGATTCCAATACTTACGTGTCCTAGTCTTCTGTGGCATTCAAATTGATCATTTTTATCAATTGAAACAAGACATGTCTCATTGAAGGCATCCTTGTCTCCAAGATCTATTGAGAACAGCTTTCCTTTTCTGTTACCAGTTAGTATGAGTTTTTTACTTATTATGTTTTCCACAAAGCATTTGTCTTGTTCAAAGACAACCCTGTTTTCATTTCCACAGAGCTATCCAATAGATAAGAGATTATGCTTTAAGTCTTTCACTAGTAGCACATTGCTTATGGATGGGACAGTGCCTACTGTGCCTTTTCCTAGTATTTCAGTGCTGAAATTGTCCCCAAAAAAGACTTTCCCTTTGTTTTTAAGAGTTAGTTTTGAGAAGAGATTTTTATTACCAGTCATGTGGTGTGAGCACCCACTATCAAGTATCCAAACGCTGCCTTCCATGCCCACTTGGAGACAGGTCTGCAAGATAAGTATGCTTACTTAGTTTTGGGTATCCAGACCAGCTTAGATACTTTACTGTAGTGAGTTAAGTTAGTGTAGTCTTTGTGTGGATGTTTTAAGCATTTGTTCTCATGTTGTTTTATCCTGTTTTCTTTACTAATGCGTTTTCTACAATCTGCGATGTAGTGACTAGTTTGATGACAGTAAAAGCATTCATGATTCTTATGAACATCTGAGTTTCTTTTCCATGCTGCCTTTGTTTTAGTTCTTCCTTTTATCTGGGATAATTCTGCTTTAGCAGTATCAATTTCTTCTTTTAACCTACTGTTTTCTTTCACTAGATTCTGTATCTTGTGTTCTGCCTTAGTTTTTTCATTTTTCATTTGCTCAAGTTCATTTTGTAGTTTTTCATGACTGGCTTTAATTAAAATGTACTTGTTTTTCACAGTTATAAACTCATTCTGAATATTTCTAATTGTTTCATCAAGCATTTCATCTTCATCACTACTAGAGTCTGAGTAGTAGGCATTTACCTGGGAAGTTTCTTCTTCAAGCTGGTCAATTGCCATGTATGCACTGAACTTTGGAGTGGCTTCATCATCGTCTTCATCTTCCTCGCTGCAACTCCAAGTTGCTGCAAAAGCTCTTTCCTTTTTGCCTAGTGGACATTCGGCTTTAATATGCCCTGTCTTTCTGCATCTGAAGCACCCAGATTGAGGTTGAAGCTTCTCATTGCTCGTTCCTTCCTTTCGATTTCTGTACCCCAGTCTTCCACCTTTGTTGCTTTCTCTGTCAGCTTCACCATCCCTTGATCTGTTTGGAAATCCACCTCGTTTCTTTTCTCTTCGAAGTTTAAGAAGCTTTGCCACATGCTTGCTGAGCATAGCAAGCTCATCATCTTCCATTTCATCCAAGCAGTCTAATTCGTCGTCTTGAGTGGTAGCTTTAAATGCTATCCCCTTCTTTTCTTTCTTGGTTTCCTCTAGTTCTTCTCTTCTTAACTTGTCTTCGTGAGTAATCAAGGAACCAATCAATTCATCCAGACTGAGTTTGGTGAGGTCTTTGGATTCCTCAATCGCAGTGACCTTTGGCGTCCATCTCTTTGGGAGAGCCCAGAGAACCTTGCGAACCAGATCGGCACTGGCATATTCCACCTCCAAGTTTCTCAGGCTGTTTACAATCGTGGTGAATCGATCATTCATTTCCTTGATTGATTCTTCAGGCTTCATGATGAATGACTCGAACTCTTGCTTAAGACTGTTTATTCTCGAAATCTTGACATGAGATGTGCCTTCATGTGCAATCTGCAATTTTTCCCAAATTTCTTTTGCGGACTTGCAGCCTGTCACCCTGTGATACTCCTCTGGTCCCAATGCGCAGTACATGAGGTTTGTAGCCTTCGAATTTAACTGAAAATTTCTCTTGTCTGTCTCCGTCCAGTTGCCGCGAGCTTCCTTCACTTCCAGTGGGCCATCCAGAACAATGTTCCATAGGTCTGGATCACTTGATCCTATGAACAGCTCCATTCGATTTCTCCAATAGCCATAGTGAACGCCTTCAAACCTCGGAGGACGGGTTTGAGAGAACCCATCTGCCATGAAGATTCCAGCGGTTGATCCCGAGCTCATCTTCTCCGAAGACGGTTGCGCCTTTGATGTCGGAGCTGGGCTCTGATACCACATGTAAGTGGGTCAAGCGCGATCCGCCTGAACTGAAGAAGTCAAGTTCCTACAAAACCCTAATCGGCACAGTTGCTGAACAAGTGAGGAATTTCAGTTCTAGGGTTTGAGTAATGAATTTGTGCAAGACAAGAAAATTGAAATAACTAATAATTGAACCAAAACAAACTAATAATTATCTGCAAGAATTTTGGGCTTGAAGCCCACTCGTTTATTCACAAGTAGACTGGGCTTGGCCTCCGAATAAATTTGCTCGGCCTGCTGTTTGCTCCTCTCCTTTGATCAAGCTTACCTCCCTGCTTCGAAGACTCCCCTGTTTCTGAACACAGTGACCAAACACACAAGCAGAGTATAAACCAAAGCTCGAAAATGGAGAACACAAACACAGCATAACACTTTTTACGTGGTATCCGATATTGGGAGAAGAAGGATCCCAATATCGACTAATCCATGGTAGGAATCTCTCCTCTTGAGGATTCCTACGAATCTACTAGATCGTTTCCTTGATCGTGATTACAATTGCACAGTTTAGGATGATCAGCACCCTGCCAATCAGCCTAACACCAATACTGAGTTCTAATCTCCCTGATTGTTCACTCAGATTCACAAGCTATTCTCTCCGATTAGCTAACCGAGTTTTCTTATCAAAAGTTCACCACTGTTCACTCAACACTCTGTTCTTTTGATTTGCCGGAAAACTCTGCTTTCTCCATTGCTCAACCTCGTGGTTATATAGTCTACTTTCTTCAAAGTAGTCGTTGTCTGATTGAGGTTTGAATTGCTGTGATTTAGCTCCATGTTTCCTTCTTTGAGAATTTCCATCTTTGTCTTGATTTGATTTGTTGATTCTTTCCCTATTGACGAGCTTCCCTTAACACTGCATTTGCTTCCATGGCAACCGATTTGGGATGGACTTGTTGGAGAGTTGGCTAGGGTTCCTTTTGTGGTTTATTTCATGGATATCCTTCCTCAGTTCTGTACGTTGAGCTTAGGGCGTCGTCTTGGTAATCACTTGGATGGAGGGCTTGAGAACCGCCAATTGGGAATTTATGCTGATCATCCTGGGCAGTCAGATCCCTTCATTAAGGCGCGTGTTTTCATTGATGCTGAGGCTCCGCTCCGGTCCAGGCTATTTGCACAAAATGACAATCGCGGAGGGTTCTGGACCCGGCTGGATTATGAGTACTTTCCATTGTTTTGTTTCAATTGTGGTCGACTCGGTCATGGGAATGCTACCTGTTCTTTGCCTCCACCTCCACCGGGTTCGGAGATTTACAGCAGTTCGATGTCGGTCCACCCTCATGGTATTCTGCTTGATGAGGTAACCTTTCTGCCGGTTGGTCATCTCGCAGTACCACGTCGCGGGCGTGGTCGTGGTCGCTTCACTTGGGTTCATCCTCGGAACCGTGGGGGATATGCTTCTCACAATCGCCCTGTTCAGGAAGAGCAACCAGTAGATGTCGATCCTTGGCAGCATCAGGCAGTCTTGGCATTAACGGCTGGGGAGCCAGCAGGTATGACTTTGGTGCCTCCGCCAACTGCTTTTGGTGGGTCTCGTCGAACTGGAAGAGGTCAGATTCCTGTCCAGCGACACCCTCATGTGGTGTTACCGCCCATTCGTATTTCAGAGGTATCTTCAGCTCCCTCTCGTTCACTGATTTATGATGCCGCTAAAGGGAAAGGCAAGGCTACGGTTCAAGAGGCGGAGACAGATGACAAGGACTTTCCGCTGGGAGAGACCTCGGCTGCCCCTCCTCGGCCTGGGTTCCGTATGTTCTTGTCTGATGCAGAGATGGAGATTGATTGTTCCAAGCGGACTGCGTCGAAAAGGGAGGCAGAGGAGCAAGGTGCTAGTGGTGTGGTGGATGATCTAGAGTTCCAACCTGCAGCGAAGAGACATCATGGGGAGGAGGAGGAAGGTTCAGGTGACATTCTAGGAACTGTGGAGGCAGCCAGCAGTGAATGGCCCCACCCTGCTGAATGAGATGTTTAGCTTGGAATTGTCGAGGCTTAGGTCCGGCCTTGACGGTTCAAGCCTTAGAAGGACTGGTTCGTGTGCATAATCCTTGTGTCTTATTTCTATCTGAAACTCGTAATGATCGTAGCTATGTTCGTGATATTATTATGTCTCTTGGTTATGTTGATTGTCGGATTGTGGATCCTTTAGGAACTTCAGGGGGCCTTGTTGCTGCTTGGAGTTCTGATGTGTCTATTACTTTCTTATGTAAAGACTCTTTCTATATTTCTTTGCAATTAAGTATGGATGGAGTGGTGTATGTGCTGGTTTTTGTGTACTTGTCGTGTGAAGTGGCTGTGCGAAGGCAACAATTTGCCTAATTATCTCGTTATTGTACTCTTTTGGCTGTTCCTTTCATGGTTGTAGGTGACTTTAATGAACTCCTTCATTCTCATGAAAAACAGGGGGGTCGAGAGTTTGATCTTCATCGTGCTCTCCCTTTCCGAAATTTTGTTGATGATCTAGGTCTCATGGACATTGGTTTTATGGGCCCTCGATTTACTTGGTCGAATCGTCATGCTGATCATACGGTAATTCACAGTAGGCTTGACCGATTTTTGCTTTCATTGTCTTGGCTTAATCATTGGCCAAGAGGTGAAGTTCAACATTTGGCGGATCATGGGAGTGATCATCGACCCATTTTATACACTTGGAATGGGGAGAATCATTTTACAAAACCCGTTTTCATGTTCGATGCTCGTTGGGGTTCTAATGATGAGGCTCTTGCTATTGTTTCTGAGGTTTGGTCTTCGGTTGTTCGCGGCTCTCCTTGTTTTCAGTTATGGACTTTGATGAAAAAGGCTAGGCATAGATTATTTCAATGGGCTCGTCTCGGTACTACTAATTCAGCTCGTCTTATTAAGGAATTGCGTGCTAATGCCACTTCTATTCGAAATGCTTCCCGGTGGACTGGGAAGCCTTGAATCATGTTAAATCTGAGTTGGCTTTGGCTTGGGCTGCGGAGGAACTATTTTGGAAACAAAGGTCTCGGGTTTCTTGGTTAAAGGTCGATGATCGTAACTCTAATTATTTTCATACGGTTACTCGATCCCGTCGGCGAAGGAATCGGATTCATGGGATCTATAATGCAGCAGGCGAATGGGTTACTACCCCTTCGGCCATTGAACAAGTTGCTGTGGACTATTACAAAGGTCTTTTCCTATCAGAGGCCACTAGTTCTAATTTTTCTCAGCAGGTGGAAGCTAGGGTAAGACAGTGTGATTCGAGCTATTTCTTCCTTCTTTTAGTCTGGAAAATTGTTACGGAATATGAATCATACTTGGCTTACTCTTATTCCTAAAGTGGAAAGGGTGGAGCATGTTTCTCAACTTCGTCCAATAAGTCTATGTCAATTCCTGTATAAAGTCATCACCAAAATTATGGCTACCATATTAGGTTCTACCTTGCCTCATCTTAATTCCCCGGAACAGAATGGCTTTGTTCAGGATCGTCAAATTGTTGATAATGTTCTAGTTGCTCATGGGACAATGCATTTCATTTCCCACAAACGGCAAGGGCGAGAAAAGTTTATGGCACTGCAATTGGATATGGAAAAGGCCTACGATCGGATTGAGTGGCCATATATGTTCTCAATGGATTCATTGGGTGCGTGAGTGTGTAACTACAACAACTTTTTCTGTTAAAGTGAATGGGCACCCTTCAGGGTATTTTACTTCTTCTCGAGGTGTACGGCAGGGAGATCCCCTATCTCCTTTGTTGTTTGCTTTATGTTCTGAAGGTTTTACAGCAATGATTAAACAAGCTATTCATTCTCATGAGCTCCATGGTGTTCGGATGGGGCCTCGGTGCCCACAAGTTTCCCATTTATTATTTGCTGACGATTCATTCCTTTTTCTTCTTTTGGGTCTCCTTCGGGATTTCCAAGAAATTAGTGGGCAGCGAGTTAATTTACACAAGTCCGCCGTGTGTTTCAGTCCAAACCTCAGTCAATCGGGTCAAGAGGAGCTTGGGGCTTTCTTAGGAGTGGGCTCATTTGGCTTGCAAGATCGTTATTTAAGTCTTCCTTCATTGCTGGGACGTTCAAAGTTGGAGACTTTTCGTTTCATCGAGGAAAAACTCAGTGCTGTGCTCCAAGGATGGAAAAATCGATCTCTTTCCGCTGCAGCCAAGGAGGTACTTTTGAAATCAGTGGCAGCGGCACTTCCAATCTACATCATGTCTTATTTTCGGCTGCCTAGAGTTTTGATCAACAGGTTGAATGCTATGATGGCAAGATTTTGGTGGGGCGCTGTTCAAGGTCAACGTCGTATTCATTGGCGAGCTTAGAAAGCCTTATGCACATCTAAACAGGAAGGTGGTTTGGGTTTCCGCGAGTTTGGTTGTTTCAATCAGGCTCTTCTTGCCAAGGTTGCGTGGCGTGTGCTGAAGGATCCAATGAGTTTATTGTCAAGGGTTTATAGGGGTCGATACTATAGGGATTCGGGTGATTTCCTGGGGGCGGGTTTGGGGAGTAATCCCTCTTGGGGGTGGCGGAGTGTCATCTTTGGTCGGGAATTATTACGTGAGGCTATTAGGTGGCAAGTAGGCGACGAGGTCTCAATCCGTGCTTTTCAGGATCCTTGGGTGCCAGGTGACCCTCCGATCATTCCCAAATCAGCTCCAGGTAACTCTAATCCTGCTCTTTGTGTTTCAAGTCTTATAGATCCTGGTAATAGATCGTGGAATACTGCGGCTATCCATCATTTTATTGGTTCGAATTTGGCTGCCCTTATCCAAGGGATTCGGCTGTCTCAACATCTTTTGAAAGATTCAATTATTTGGCAGTATGAATCCAGTGGGGTTTTCTCTGTTAAATTTGCTTTTCATCTTGCCTTTCGGCGCTGTCGTCCAATTCCGTCCAAATCTAATATTGCTTTCATGGATCCTTCGGTTTGGAATTGGATTTGGGGAAGGAAAGTTCCGCCGAAGTTACACTTCTTCTTATGGCAATGTGTTCACAGAATCCTCCCGACTCGTGAAGCTTTAGTAACACGAGGGATGGATATCATTCCCATTTGCCCGGTGTGTGGTAAGAAAGAAGAAACAATTGAGCATTTGTTTTTTCGTTGTCCGGCTGCTCGACGTTTATGGAGGATGGTGGGTATGCATAGGTATCTAGGTCGTTGGGAAAAAAGATCTTTCATAGGTTTCATCCGGTACTCGTCGTTCAAGGAGATTGGTGAAGATTTAGACTACCTCTACCTGCAGGTAATTTGTTTGTTATGGAGGATATGGAAAAATCGTTGTAAAGTTGTTTTGAGTTCAAGTAGGTCCGTGTGGAAGAGCTTGTTGCACAATGGAGGCACCAAGTACAGGAGAATGACCAGGCCCTTCTACAGGATTACAGTACTGTGACTTCAGCAGCAACAACTCACTCCAATACTCCTCAAGTGCCTCCAAATGTGCTTTTTGTGGGCTCTTTTGATGCAGGTACTCGACAGGGAGAGGACGGATCAGTAGTTTTTTTCGTTCGCCACATCTCTGGCGATATAATCGCTGCTAAAGCGACTCGGTATACTGCCTGCAGTGATCCATATGTTCTTGAAGCTCTTTCCTTGCGTGATTGTCTAGTTCATTGTACTCAGGCTCAACTTCAGAATATCCACATTCAAGGTGATGCTAAAGTTATTTTGGACAAATGTCAAGCTGGCGACACGTGCGATTCCAAGATCGGGATTTTGCTCCAGGAAATTGTTTTGCTTCTTCAAGTTCTTTCCTTGGTCTCCCTCCAATTTGTTGGACGTTTGAACAACAGAGTAGCTCATTCGGTAGCAAAGCATGCTCTGGGTTTGTCGCCTCGTCAGATAGCGAGGTTCGACTATGTTGCTTGGTTACGTAGTAGATAGGTTTCTTGTATCTGTGAACTTTGTTCGCCCTCTTTTTTAGAGGAATCTAATGGCAAAAAAAAACATAAAAAAAAAGGTATAATGTAACAATAAAAAGTTTGTCACTAATGTTGTTGCAACTGTAACAATAGTTATGTCACAAGAAACTCATTTTGTGACAAAAGTACGGTCGGAAAGATGAATTATTTGTGACAACGTAAACCGGTGATGGTTGAAATACATATGAAGACGACAAAAACTCGTCACAAGTGTAAAGCATTTGTTACAAGCGATAGTTGTCATAGTTGAGTATGTCATATGTGACAACAAAACTCGTTATGAATAAAGCATATATATATTGGTTATTCATGTAAAAAAGTGTTGCATTAATTTTTTGAGATGTTGCCTAAAATGGTGTTGCATATAGAGTATAAATATGCAACACATTTTTTTGTTGTTGCCAAAAGTAAAATAAGTGCTACCTATTACTTTATACAACACCCCCTATAGAGGACACTACTAAAAGTGTTGCATATCACTTAAGCAACACATTGGAAGCTTTTTACAACACATTTCATGTGCTGCCAAAAGCCAGTTTTCCCATAGTGCTATATTTATGAAGTGAATCTTAATTGTTTTGAAGTTATTTTCAATGCTTAATTTTATATTACATTAAGGCGACATTGAAATTAATTATTTGATTTCCAATTTTAAAATCATTAATGATAGAACATTGTATTCTTAATGATGATAACACTCCTTAATTTCATGACATGTCTATTTAATGATGTGGTCACTATTTATCTATAATTTAAAAGAAAACTTAAATAGCAAAAAGAAACTTTGTCTCCCAGAGTGTAGTATAAATATCACATATTTATTAAACTCTTAATATTAAAATATTCTAAATAGTGCAATAACAAAATCTATAGAAAAATAACATTCATCATCCTTGCTTAGTGTGAAAAATTTTTGTCTTTCAACATACTCGAAATTTAGTTTAGGGATACTCTTAGACCCTCAACAAATATAATTAAACCTCTCGTGTACTACTCACCCTGCTAATGCATACAACTACATCAATGCATGCATGAAAACTCCGACCCGAATTCATCACTTGCCATTTATTATTTCTAGTTGATCATATTAAATCAAGTAACTGTAAATGATACATATGGGTAATTACTCTATGATAATAAGAATTAATTAGATAAAATAATTTACAAAAATCTTGTTCGTAAAATGTGTTCTTTAAAGCTCATCCATAGCACTTCACACCAAAAAAAAATCTTCATTGACAAATAATCGGTAGCATGACAACAATATACATAGACAAAGATGTTAATGAAAATTAAAATGTCTCTCATTTGAGGCTGAATATTTCATTACACTCTGAGGAGCTTATTGAATCATTTATAAGTCTTGCTCCT